TGACGACCAAATCCAAACTTATTGGTTGTAAATGGGTATTTAGGAGAAAATATAATGTTGATGGTTATCTGAATACCTTTAAGGTTAGACTAGTAGCTAAAGTTTATCGACAAATGGAAGAAATAAATTATTTGTAACTTATGCACGAGTAGCTAGACTAACATCAATTATGATATTATTTGCATTGACTTCAATATATGAATTGCATATTCATTAAATGATGTCAAGATGGCATTCTTAAATGGGGATCTCAATAAGGAGGTTTGGGTTTGCACTATTCGGATATGAGCATAAGGTATGCAAGTTAGTGAAATTGTTATACGGTTTAAAGCAGGCACCTAAAATGGCATGAGCAATTTAACTTAGCTATAGTATCATTTTATTTTAAATACAATAGCGAAAACAAATGGTTTATATTCGAAAGAATGTGATAATTATTTGATATTTATATGCTTATATGTTGATGACACGTTGATTATAAGTAATCACATGAATGGAACAGAAGGAACGAAGAGGTTTCTATTTTTCACATTTAAAAATAAGGATCTTACATAGGTGGATACCATATTGGGTATCAAAGTCACTAAGACTAGTAGGGGTTACAATCTAAGCCAATCACATTATATCGAGAATGTGATAAACAAGTTTAAACATTTGAATGTAAAAGAATATAATATCCCAATTGATCCAAGTTCAAAGCTTGTAAAGAATTATGAAAGGGCAATTACTCAATTGGAATATATGAGTGCTATTGGAAGTCTTAAGTATGCTATAGCACCCCGAAAAAAAATGTGTGTGTGTGTGTGTGTAATAGAAAAAAATATATTATTTGTTTTATTATATATATATTTTAAAAAGTTGGGGACTAAAATGGAATAAGTTTTTAATTTCTATTTTAGTTAGGCTAAATAATTAGATAATGATGGAATAAGTTTTGGTATATCAATATTGGACTCATTTTGTAGGTTGTAATTAATTAGAAGTTTTCGACTCAAAATAAAGTTATTATGGATAAGAATGCATTAAGTTTGAACCAATTGAAAGAAAACAGGATAGATAGAATTTTATATAAGTGATAATTAAATTCAATTTCTCTCCCTAGAAACGTGTGAGGTGGGTATTAAATTTTTAATCATTTTTTCAGTTTAATATTAACCCATTTTGAATTTGATAGAATGGCTGCCACGTCTATATTGGATAAGGATAGTAGTTCTTTTAGGTGGAGTAAAACAATGATAAAGTACAATCTTTTTTATGATACACGCAACATTGGATTTGACTCTATCAAATAAATTTTTTATATATCAATTACTCTAGCCTACACTTATATATAGGCATGATGGAAGAGTTTTACATACCCAAATTCAAATATACATTTACTAGAGAGAGAGAGAGAGAGAGAGAATAGTGTTGGAAATCTAATACTTTGCGTACGTCATTGTCAATCAGTACACTTTCATCGGAGTAGAGAAGTTGAGAAAAGAATTAGGACACGAGCAATTATATTTCATTTTATTTAACAAGGTAAGATACTTTTAAAAGTATTTTCATTTCCTTATGTTTCTATATTCAATTAAATATACATGGATTGTCAGTGGACCTTCAGGTTCTATAAAAAGAGAGAAAAAATCCTACGGGATTATAAGAGGACCTAAGATGGATGTATTGTTTGGTCACCGATATACTCCATAAGAGCAGAGTGGTATGAAGTATAGATTTTATTTGTTATATAATTGTGTGTAAAAACTGCACATATCTTACTGAGTATTTTTGAATGCTCACTCGTACAAAATTTTACATGTTAGCTCGGGTTGTTTGGAACTGTGACGAATTGGTGATGCGGACTGCCAACGGGATCCAAAGAAAAAGGAAAATAAATATTTAGTTTTTCTTTTTATGTCTCTAAATTATTTGTCAATTTTATTTGTTCAAAAACTCGTTTTTGTTTATTTTAAATTAATATTTATGGTTGAAAATAAAGAATTTCTTTTATTTGAGTCGTTCCGCAATTATTAAAAAGAAAATTAAGTTTTTCGTAACACTCCAACTTTTATGAAAAAATTTGGGGCGTTACATATGCAGTTCAATACATGAGACCAGACATAGCCCAGCCTTTGCAATTAGTAAACTTAGTAGATTTACTTGTATTCCGAGCAATGATCATTGAAAGGTCACTGGAAGGGTTCTTGAATATCTAAAGAAAACTAAGAATTTAAGCCTACAATATACTAAATTTTCGACTGTATTGGAAGGATTTACCGATGCTAGTTGAATATTTAGCATAGGTTCATGTTGGGTGTTACTCTTGGAGGAGGTGCTATTTCTTGGAAATAAACAAAAAAAAAAAAGAAAAAAAGGCACATACATGTATAACACACTCAACTATGGAATCTAAATTTGTAGCACTATAAAAAAATCGAGAAAGAAGCCGAGTGGCTTAAGAATCATCTTTATAAGATACCTTTAGGACTGAAGAATAAATCATCAATACCTATCATGTGTGATAGTCAAGTCACTTTAGCAAAAGCAGATAATGAAGCATACAATGAAAAGTCTAGACATATGAGTTTTCGACATGACTATATAAGGAAATTAATCAATGATGGAATAATTTAATTTTCCTAAATCATGTAAAGTCAATCGAGAACTTAATGGATCCTTTAACTAAACATCTAAATAGAGATTTAATAGCATCTACTTCGAGTATGATGGGGTCGAAACTCCTCAACTAAAAGGTCTACCAATGACAGCAACCTTACTTGTCGTCACTCAAAAGGTAATCTACAAGTTCAAAGGGTAACAATAAGTCATTCGATATGTGGATGGTTTTAGGATTATTAAAATCAGCAATAACCATATCCTAATAAGTAATGCTAGTTGTTATCGTAGTGAGGGTTGAGCTATAAGCTCTTAATGAAGTTCAATACTAAATACAAGTATCCTTAAAAGTAACAAAGATACTGGAACAATTTCACCTAGATAAACTTCGAGATGGTGCTGTCTAAATAAAGAGTTGGAGTTTCTCTCTTAAAAGTTTGTTGAAAATGATAAGCGCAAGGCCATATTAGCACTAAGGGAGTTTGAGGAAATCGAGAACACATGATACTTGTGTAGGTGTTCTCACCGGTATTGTCACATGAAATAAATGGTTCAAACGTTCATGTTACCTTTGATTCCAACTTTACTCTGTAAAAAATACACTATGTTTATATTCAAATCGAAAGATATTTAATCATTATGCATAAGTATTGTATACTTTGATTATGAAATTTTATTGAATATTGAACAAATGGGGAATTATTGTAATGTCGTTCAACCTTAATAAAATATAAGTGTGGAATGAAAATAGGAATTGATGGTCGGAAGTTTGGCCTACCCGACCGCACAGGCCAGATGCCCATGTGGTTGCATGGTGTCATGCAGGGACTAAACGACCTACATGACCTTGCTCTATGTGATAGTGTAGGTTTGTTATATGTGGTATACGGTTACATAGAACAAATATGTTATTGTTGATGACCATTTTTGACCATTTTGATTTAAATTTTTGGAGGCTTTTCACCACATTTTGGCACCATTTCGTGTGGACTGATCCATGCCTATAAATAGGTGAGTATGTTCAACACATAAACAATTGAAAAACATTTATGACCTATACATCACTCACAAACAAAGATCAAAACTATATTCTATTCAATATTCAAAGTTCCTCCCTTGTGTTCTTCAAGTTTTGGGAGATTTCACTTGTGTTTGATGATAATCTTTTTCAAGGCTTGTTAAAATTCTGCAAACCATTTGTCAAGATCCCTCAAACCATTTTACTCAATCTAAGAGGACGCAAATATCGTTTGAGGACAACGATATCGTATTTGAGCCTTCATCTTGATATCTTGATCCCAGAGGTCAACGTTTTAGATAACAAAAATATCCAAAAGCTTAAAATTAATACATTTTAAAAAAGATAACAAATTCGAAAAATATAGACAACCCTTGAGAATACCAAATATTATAAAGACACTATCTCTCTCTCTCTCTCTCTCTCTCTCTATATATATATATATATATATATAGTACCAAGTAATGTGGCACACTACAATAGATGATAAAAAATAATGGTTAATTTTAAGATTAATTACGCCACCTATTTTAGTGTACCACCCAAGCACGTATGTCATTCCAAGATGTTTAAAAAATCAAGGCCATTGATTATTTTAAATGTTGTTAAAATCAATGGCAAATATGTGTAACATGTCATGAAGTGTAAACAAAGCTGTCAATCATGATGTAATGTATGAAAACTGATTTTGAAATTCTTATTACATAGATTTAAACTATATTTTCCTTTATTAATTCTTAATTATACTTTTTCACACTTTTAACTGAGATGAGATAAATAGTTTTAGTTAAAAGAAATATCATGATAAATTGTCATAATATCTTAAAATTTTGAAAAATACGATTTATTTTTCAAAAAAATTATATGTTTTGCCGAAATGATTGACAAATATTTAACAAATCACCATAAACACTTGTTATAGAATAATTGAATAATGCAGATTAAAAATAGTTTGAATAATTTAAATTTCTTGATTTAGTAGTATTTTCTCTAATTTCATGATTTATTAATTGGTATATTATTAATTTGGTGGGAGTTGGTGGGGGTGGGGTAGGAGTAGGTGGGGATAATTAATTCTAATTAATTGTATATTATATATATTATTTACAATTAATTGGAATTACACTTGAATTTTGAAATAATTTGACAAGTTTGCTAATTTTAAAATGTGATTCTTATATGTCGGAGTTATATATTATTCTCCTATAAATACCCATCAAACGAACTTGTCAATTCACCATTGAAGTGGGAAGCATTTCTTCGATTTACTATCCAAATTTTGAAAGTGAAATACGGAAATGGATAACCAAATCCATGCATCTGCTACTCCATCTTCCACCAAAAATATGAGATTCAGGATACTCATCGTTCTATCACGTATCATCCTACCATTTGGGGAGATTATTTCCTTGTGTATACTTCTAATGTAAATCAGCTTGACCTTTTGTTCTGTTGGGAATTTACTTAAACATGCATAGCAGAAATAAAACAATTTCAATTCACACCAGGATTCATCTTTGTATTTAGATAAGAATTGTGATGAGAATTATAACTTTTCTTGAATTTGCGAACTCCTTTGCATTATCTTTGTTCCAGCAACTTGGATCTACTTTCCACAGCCGTCCAATTGTCTAGCCTCTAATGAAAATCCACACAAAAAATAGATTGCAACTGCTGGGGTTTTTTTCTCTTGTGCCAGCAAGAATTATGAAAAACTATATGGATCTAAAATCCTAGCCATGTATTTATAAGCCCAAACGGGCACGGACCGATCTGATCCAATATTTAATTAATCCATTTAATTAAATCCGATCCGTGAATTAATTAATCAAATTAATTAATTCAAGGCTATAAATAACCAATCCAATTAATTAATTTATCCAACGATTGTTAAATTAATTAATTGGCAATTTACAATCTTCCAATTCTCTTTTGTGTGCAACCCATTAGGTTCCCGACCACAATGTCTAACGACGTGAAATATTATTTTGATCTAATAAAAATGATAAATTAAACACCCTTATAATTTATGACAAATTCACACTCGCCGTCCCAGATTAACATCTAGCAATGTATCAGGGCAACACATGTTGCCTAACGACGTGAAATATTATTTTGATCTAATAAAAATGATAAATTAAACACCCTTTTAATTTATCACAAATTCACACTCGCCGTCCCAGATTGACATCTAGCAATGTATCAGGGCAACACATGTGACTGGAAATATCACGTGGTATGACAAAATCAAAACTGTTCGTTTACCATGAAACTATAATCCATTCGTCAATATGATCCGATCAATTACGAGATATAGAAGTCTGTCAATCTCGATTATCGATCATATCTTTCATTCTACTATTAAGTCAATATGAGTCGAAAACTCCTTTTCGACTTATGTGTATACCTTGGCCAAGGATTTCATTATTGACTTAATTGAACGAAATGCAGATCACAATCTCTTTCTATCTAAAAGTCACGAATCCTCTATTGGTTATTCACAACCTTCATATGGTTCTTGACATACCCAAACGATATCGTATTAGTGGTAGTGGTCCTTGGTAGAGCAACATCCAACACCGTCAAAGCATGATTGTCCTCATACAAGGCACTATGATGACTTCAAGTCATAGGACCAATCCCACTACCGAACGTTAGAGATTAACCACTGACACTCAGATAGTTATCTATGTGGAATCTCTTAGCAGGTCTCCAATATTTTGCTCTACAATAAAACATCCACGTGTTCATTTAAGTGTAACCACACTTTAGCTTGTGAGATCAGCTACTTACTTCACAAGTAGGAAATGTCACACGTGATGGTCTATCTGTAATAACGATATCCATATCTCATTACTACTTACGACCACGGATTATTCAAGATCTAATTAAACGTAATTTGTATCTCACAATCACAACTCCTTGTGATTAACAAATCACTTAAACTTGAATCTTCGTACTCTATTATTTAATATAATTTATCAAAAAATTAATTTAAATAAATAATAGATCTTGCCAAAATTAAATACATTAAACATATTAAACGTGTTTACAACCTAAATCGGTTGAATCTAGGGCATAACACTCACATGTTCTTCGTTAATTAACTGAAATATAATTGTGTTAAAAAGTTAAATGGATGCTTCCACTTACTTGAGCAGGATATATTGGCCCACGAAGAGCAAGAACGTCAAAGATTAAAAGATGAAGTGAAAATGTTGCTAACAGCTGCTCCAGATGGTTCGGTGTATAAACTAGATCTCATCGATGCAATCCAACATCTTGGAGTTGGTTACCATTTTGAAATAGAAATTGAAAAATCTTTAAAATACATCTATGAAACTTATCGTGAAAGTCACAATAAACAAAACAATGATCTTCGTGCTATTGCTCTTCGATTTCGGTTATTTAGACAACAAGGATATTATGTCTCATGTGGTAAGTAATTTTTGTTTACGTGATTCATAACATTTTGGGAAATTGAATTGACAATAACATATGTATGCACATGTAATAAAAGATTGTAATATGCTTATTTTCTTATGCTTCTAAGCAAGTCAAATATACTTTATACAAGTTAGTTATGATTTTTAAAGCTACTTTTTTACTTACAAAATTAACTTTTCTTTAACATGACCAAACATGAATATGGTACATTTAATGATTTTTCGGGCTGAGGCAGATGTGTTCAACAAATTCAAGGACAGCCAAGGAGAATTTGAGGATTCTTTGATTCGCGATGTACCAGGGATGTTAAGCTTGTACGAGGCTGCACACTTTGGAGTACACGGGGAGGAAATTTTAGAAGAAGCATTGAAGTTTTCTACCTCTCACCTCGGATCCATGATCCACCAGGTGAGCAATTGTCTCTCCAGACAAGTTAGTGACACCTTGGAGATGCCGATTCATAAAACTTTGACAAAGCTCGGAGTTAAGAAATTCTTGTCCATTTACCAAGAATCCGGTGAAGACATTCTCCTGAATTTTGCAAAATTAGACTTCAACATAGTGCAGAAGATGCATCAGAAGGAGCTAAGTGACATTACACAGTTTGTTTTGTGAAGCTTCACTGTGTATATATGCACTTATATATTGGTAAAATTTATTTACTTTCGGATGTGAATTGCAGGTGGTGGAAGGCTTTAGAGTTTGGAAAAAAATTTCCTTTTGCAAGAGATAGGCTGGTGGAATGCCACTTTTGGATATTATGTGTCTACTTTAAGCCCCAATACTCTCTTTCAAGGAAAATTCTAACCAAAGTAATCACAATGGCTTCTACTATTGATGACATCTATGATGTTTATGGCACCCTAGATGAACTTAAACTTTTCACAGATGCCATTGAAATGAGAGTTTTGAGTTGTTCTTTGTATCATAATGTCTAAAAGCATATTTATTTATAGCAAAATATATAATACAAATAGATCCCGATTTGATATTGAATATTTTCATGAGCAGGTGGGATTTTAGTGCCGTAGATCAATTACCATCGTACATGCAATACCTTTACAAATCTCTTTTAGATGTTTATCTCAAATCTGAGAAAGAGTTAGGAAAATCGTATCGTGTTCACTACGCGATTGATGAGGTAATCAATATTAATAAAGTTGCTTGACTTTTATCAAAATTACATCCAATATATCTAATTGAAGTTTCAATTTACAGATGAAAAAATTAGTCCAAGCATATTTCAAAGAGGCAAAATGGACGTACAACAAATGTACTCCAAAACTTGAAGAGTATATGAAAGTTGCACTAGTATCCAGTGGCTACATGATGCAATCTACAATGTCTTTGGTAGGTATGGGGGAGCTGGTAACTAAGGAAGCCTTTGATTGGATTTCAAGTGAACCATTATCAGTTCGTGCTTCATCAATTATTGCTAGACTAATGGACGATATGGTTGGACAAGGGGTAAGATGTCTTAATTCTTAGAAATTGATTTTATTTAAATTACACAAGTTCGTCACACGTGTTTTTTTTGTTCTTATGGCCGTCAACAGATGAGAAAAATGTAATAGCCTGCTCAGCATTAGATTAACAAGTTTTGTGTTGTGTTACTTTTATGCAGTTTGAGCAAAAAATAATGGCAGTTGAATGTTACATAAAAGAGAAAGGAGCTTCAAAAGAAGATGCATTTGCTGTATTTCAAACACAAGTCATGAATGCATGGAAGGATATAAAACAAGAATCTATCAATTCAGATGTAGTACCAATGGCTGTTCTCGTACAAGTAGTCAATCTTGCACGTGTCATCAATCTTATATACAAAGACGGTGATGGAGACACAAATTCTAAAACAAAGTTGAAAGATTTCATAACAGCGATACTCATTCAACCAGTGACAATATCCAAATGAGCATAGTAGTGGTGCAGGTGACTTCCATTTTAATGTACCACCTCATTGTCATCCATATTTAGTGCTGTGTTGTCAAATTCTACAACATAATTAGGTCTTGGTTAAGGTTATTCAAACATTGAGTTTCCTCGTATCTAAATGTGTCAATAATTGAACTATATATCTACTAGAAAGCCCTTGGAGTAGCTAAAAATTTGTATTTGTTTTGTCCAATGCTCTAAATAATGATATTAATATTTAAAGTTTATGTAGAACAATTAGAATTGAAAGCTTTGTTATAATTCATTGATATTCACAGGGACGGATCCTCCAAGACCGGGGCTACAACGTGAAAAAAAAAAAAATTACACATAAAAAACTGATTTTTACCAAAAAATAAATAAAAAGTACCTTTAAAAAAAAGTTGTTGGGCCTGGGGGGGGGGGGGGCTACAACCCTGCCCTGCCCCCCCCCCCCCC